GTCCAGTGTGGCGCAGGCCCCGTTATTATCCAGAAGAGTGCCTTTAGTACTAACCGGGTATCAAGGACCAGTAGGACTAGGACTCCAGTCCAGTCCTCCACAAGACACCATCGTCATTCTAAGTTCCTACTATTGTTCATCCCCTCCCTCTTCACCCCTCCTTTCCTTACATTGACATCCACCATTCTTTCTACCGACTCTGCGCACTGCTTGGATTGAGCGTCCTGTCTTTTGCGTACATTTATCTAATCTCTTCCACGCTCACTTGCCGCTGCCGTTTGAAACTGATAGGTCAGATATCTTGACGCCTGGGCGCCATATCCGGGGAAGTCGGCAGCAACAGTCATGGTACGTCTACGCTTAACCTACACAATCAGCTTCGGAAAGAAACCGTGCTTAATTCAGAAATCGTTTTCTAACCCCGCGATTACTTCTAGGGACACTCACGACGTCCTGCTGGCGGAGAGAAGAAGAGTCGAGGCTTCGGTCGGTCCAAGGCGGCTGCCGATGTGGGCGATGGGCGACAAGCGGGAGGCAAGCCTCAGGTGAAGAAGGCCACCTTTGAGAGCACAAAGAAGAAGGAAATCGGTGTTTCAGATCTTACATTGTTGAGCAAAATCTCGAACGAGGCCATCAATGACAACCTGAAGCTGCGGTTTGAACATGACGAGATCTATGTAAGCATCGCCCGCCGACTAGGGGTACTCGAAGTGTTTGCGCTACTGAGGGCGTGTGCTGATCTCAATTCTTCGGATGATAGACATATATCGGCCATGTGTTGGTGTCCGTCAACCCTTTCCGAGACCGTGAGTTTACACCGAGCCATGTGCGATGTTCAAAGTCGCGTCGCTGACATCGTTGCTTCGCAGTGGGTATCTACACCGACAATGTTCTCCAGTCCTATCGAGGCAAAAATCGACTCGAAGTGCCTCCCCATGTCTTCGCGGTCGCAGAATCGGCCTACTACAACATGAAGTCCTACAAGGATAACCAGTGCGTGATTATCTCAGGAGAGTCGGGTGCAGGAAAAACGGAAGCTGCGAAGCGGATCATGCAGTACATCGCCAGTGTATCCGGAGGCACTGACTCGTCCATCCAGCACACCAAGGAAATGGTGCTAGCTACCAACCCGTTGCTCGAGTCATTCGGTAATGCGAAGACCCTGCGCAACAACAACTCCTCACGGTTTGGGAAGTATCTCGAACTGGAGTTCAACACAAACGGTGAACCCGTGGGTGCCAATATCACCAACTACCTACTCGAGAAATCCAGAGTAGTAGGACAAATCACAAACGAGCGAAACTTTCACATTTTCTACCAATTCACCAAGGCGGCGCCGCAGAAGTATAGAGGTCAGTTGACTTTTCCGATCTCACCAGTGCTTTCCCACTGACAGACAAGTAGATCTGTTCGGCATACAGCAACCGCAGTCATACCTCTACACCAGCCGATCGAAATGTTATGATGTCCCTGGCGTTGACGATTCTGCTGAGTTCCGCGATACTTTAAATGCAATGAGCGTGATTGGCATGACGGAGAGTGAGCAGGATGATGTCTTCCGTATGCTGTCTGCGATCCTGTGGATCGGCAACGTTCAATTTGCAGAAGACGATTCTGGAAACGCTGTTATTACGGATCAGTCGGTGGTTGACTATGTTGCATACCTCCTGGAGGTTGATGCTGCTCAGGTGAACAAGGCCTTTACCATTCGAGTGATGGAAACTGCTCGTGGAGGTCGCAGAGGGTCGGTCTATGAAGTTCCACTCAATACTGTCCAAGCTCTTGCCGTCCGTGACGCACTGGCCAAAGCAATCTACTTCAACCTGTTCGATTGGATCGTGCAGCGTGTCAACGCCTCCTTGACTGCCAGAGGAGAGGTTGCGAACTCGATTGGTATTCTGGATATTTACGGTTTTGAGATCTTCGAGAAGAACTCCTTCGAGCAACTCTGTATCAACTATGTCAACGAGAAGTTGCAGCAAATCTTCATCCAATTGACCCTTAAGGCTGAGCAGGATGAATACGCTCGTGAGCAGATTCAGTGGACCCCCATCAAATACTTTGACAATAAGGTCGTGTGCTCGTTGATCGAAGACAAGCGTCCACCTGGTGTATTTGCTGCCCTCAACGATGCCTGTGCAACAGCGCACGCCGATTCCAGCGCTGCGGATAACACGTTCGTCGGAAGACTCAACTTCTTGTCTCAAAATCCCAACTTTGAGAACCGCCAGGGTCAGTTCATTGTCAAGCATTACGCCGGTGATGTCAGCTACGCCGTTACCGGAATGACAGACAAGAACAAGGACCAGTTGCTGAAAGATCTTTTGAACCTGGTCGGAACAAGCGGCAACCAATTCGTCCATACCATCTTCCCCGAGCAAGTCAATCAGGATGACAAGAGACGCCCACCCACCGCCAGCGACAAGATCAAGGCCTCGGCTAACGACCTGGTGGCAACCTTGATGAAGGCGCAGCCCTCGTATATTCGGACAATCAAGCCGAACGATAACAAGGCGCCTAGGGAGTACAACGTGGGAAACGTTCTGCATCAGATTAAATACCTTGGTTTGCAGGAGAACGTTCGAATCAGACGTGCTGGTTTCGCTTACCGTCAAACATTCGACAAGTTCGTAGAGCGTTTCTACCTCTTGTCGCCTAAGACGTCTTATGCAGGTGATTACACATGGACAGGGGACGCTGAATCTGGCGCTCGTCAGATTCTGAAGGATACCAGCATACCCGCCGAAGAGTACCAGATGGGAATCACAAAGGTGTTTGTCAAGACTCCAGAGACGCTATTTGCTTTGGAAGCCATGCGTGACCGTTACTGGCACAACATGGCCATCCGAATCCAACGTGCGTGGCGAAACTATCTTCGCTATCGCACTGAGTGTGCTATTCGCATTCAGCGCTTCTGGCGTCGCACCACTGGTGGTCTCGAGTTCATTAAGCTGCGCGATCAGGGACATCAGCTTCTCAACGGGCGTAAGGAGCGTCGTCGGATGAGTCTGCTCGGTTCGCGCAGATTTCTTGGTGATTATGTCGGGGTGGGCAATAAAGGTGGACCCGGCGAGATGGTCCGTAACGGTGCAGCCATCAGCGGTGAGTACTTGGGAATGCTGAAATACAGCTCGATGGCTGGCTGACTTTGTTTTCTACAGGATCAGAGGATATCCTCTTTTCATGCCGCGGTGAGGTTCTGGTTTCAAAGTTTGGTCGGTCCAGCAAGCCTGCTCCTCGTATACTAGTCTTGGTAAGCTGATTGTTCCGCTTGCTCTTGTCTTTGGTGCTAACTCTATCAGACCAACCGCCACGTATACATCATAGCGCAAAACCTGGTCAACAATCAGCTGGTCATCTCGTCCGAAAGGACGATTCCAATCGGCGCCATCAAGGCTATCAGTGCCTCTAACTTGAAAGATGACTGGTTTTCAATTGTGGTTGGCAGTCCACAAGAGCCTGATCCTCTTGTCAACTGCGTGTTCAAGACGGAATTTTTCACCCACCTGAGCAACACTCTGCGCGGACAATTGAACTTGAAGATCGCCGACCAGTAAGTGTCACTGCTGGAGTATTTTGCCTTGCCACAGCTAACGAGGTTCAGCATCGAGTACAACAAGAAGCCGGGCAAATTGGCCACCGTCAAGGTCGTCAAGGATCCTGCTGTTGCCCGAGACGACAGCTACAAGAGTGGTACTCTTCACACCGGTCCTGGCGAGCCTGCCAACTCGGTATCCAAGCCAACACCGAGGCCCAAGCAAGTCAGTGCGCGTCCCGTCACGAAAGGGAAGCTACTCCGTCCTGGTGGCCCAGGAGGAGGGCCTTCCAAGCTGGCGGCCAGACCCACTCCTGCAGCTCAACCTCTGCCCCGTGTCACGCCGCAGCCAGCCGCACCTCAGCCAGCTGCCAGGGCCGTTCCACGGCCTGTTGCTGCCGTTGCTGCTTCTCACACGCGCACTGGTTCGACAGCTTCAGTGAGGGCGCCACCTCCACCGCCACCCGCGGCTGCACCCGCTCCGAAGAAGCCGACCGCAAAGGTTTTGTATGACTTCAATAGTCAGCAATCGAACGAGCTGTCAATCAAGGCTGGTGAGATTGTGCAGATTGTTTCCAAGGAAGGAAATGGTAAGACTGGAAGTCTTTTTACATCCTAACCGTCGACTAACGAGTGATAGGTTGGTGGCTGTGCATGAACATGACGACATCGGCGCAGGGTTGGACACCAGAAGCATATCTTGAAGAACAAGTCGCTCCGACACCGAAACCTGCTCCTCCTCCGCCGCCACCAGCAGCTCCGAGGTCGACGCCGGCACCGGCGACCAATGGCACCACCGCGGCTGCCAAGGCCAAGCCAGCACCTCCCGCGCCTCCAGCAAAGCGGCCGAACATGGCGGCACGAAAGGCAGTGCCTGCGCCGCCACCGGCTCCTCGCGACAGCGCTGTAAGCATGAATTCTCACGACTCGTCTGGGGGTAGCGGGCGTGGAACACCCAATAGTATGTCCAACGCAAGCTTAGCCGGTGGTCTTGCAGAGGCACTGAGAGCGCGACAACATGCAATGCAAGGAAAGCAGGACGACGATGACGACTGGTGATTGTCTCTTTGCTCTCCTTTCCCTTTCCTTTATTCCGCACTTTGACTCGTGCACCCCATATATTCTTTCTTCCTGCAGTTTTCCTCCATTCTACTTCTCCTCACTAGGCATTCATTAGATTGTTCCATTGTCGCATGTTGATTTCCGCAAGTCGATTCTTTTCGGGTCTGGCTTTTTGATACCAAAAGAGCGAGCCTAGATTGTTTGGCGCTTGCATACTCTGATATTGACTGATGCCGGAGGCATGGATTGAATGTAGGTATTTCCTACGAACCAACATAGAGCGTCGTATATAGCAATTGAATAGTTGGAGTATCACATGCGTTCGACATTTATAAACGTGACATGGTTATCGCGACCATCAAGGCCACGGGCATCATATCAACAGCTTAAACCATGGAATCGTCTACAGAAACTTGCTAGCCAGCTGCAACAGGCCACCACCAGGGCCACCGGTGCCAGCCATACCACCGCCCCCACTCTTCAAGTACATCTTGAGCGCCATTTCCGCCGCCGTATTGATAGCAGATTGCTTATCACCATTCTACAACAGTCAGCACATACCCTCATCCTCATCCTCAACCTCAACCACAAAAGCCAAAAGCCAAGGCAGAACGACAGAGCAAACTTACCACCTCCCCCTTGGCCTCCTTCTCCTCAAACATCTTCTTCGCCTGCGCCATCGCCAACCCAATAAACGCATTCTTGTCCATCCCGCTCTTCTCCCCCTCCGAGGACGTCGTGAACATCTTGAGCGCTTGCATCGCCGCCCCCGCACCGAGGGAGTTCGAGTCGTGTCTCCGCCCGCTTTCGCCGCCGCCGTTGTCGCCGCCGTAGAGCGACTGGTGCGCGTGGATCATCTCCTGCTCGTTGATGTCGTTGTCGGCGGAGAGGCGGTGCTTGTTCTCGTTTAGGAAGGAGAGGGCGGAGGTGAAGAGGGAGGTGTCCGAGGTGTTGGCGTGGGATTCGGCGTAGCGGACGGCGGGGTTGAAGTCGTCGTTGTCGTCGTCTCGGTTGTCGTGTCTGTTGTTGCTGTTGTTGTTGCTGTGCCCGTGGCCGGAAAGGGCGTCTTGGATCATGTTTGAGAAGGACATTTTGGTTGGTTGGGGTTCTTTTTCGGCTATATGGAATGAGGTTGGTTGAATGCGGTAGGTGTGGGAGATGGATGTGGATGGAGCTTTATATACTACAAACAACGGCGATCTTGTGTACTCTGTATCAGCCAGCTGAGGGGTCGCTGTCAGCTACGTATGAGGGTGGAACAGATCTGGCGGGGCAGTGGGACGCCGACTCAGCCACAGACTAATATCGTGGAGTATTATTGCCGTATTGGATTATTACAGTCCCTCAGCTCTCTTCAGAAGATATTCGACTGTTGAACTCTATAAGAGATAGAAAAGAGATAAATGATCGATTGTGGTATCATAGTCGCTGTAAACATCAAAGCAGATAACCTCCCAAGTCCCACCAGGCTCAGCCACAGCCCAGCGCAGCAAAGCCACTAGAACAGAGTAATGATGAAGATTCCCTAACGCCACAGCACCAGCCATATGCAAAATCCTACAGCAGCAATGACTCGTGTTCTTCATCGCTCAGATTCCACCAGAACCTCATCTGTCGCTCCCGCTCGCTAAGCACACACCGCTCGTCCTCGTCGAGGTCCGCCTCACGTATCCACTCATTGGGAAGCCCCCGTGGTCCGTACGGCTGGCCCCATTGTCGGCGGTCAAACTCCATGAACCCGCCAAAATGCTCGTCTGTGTTCGCCACCCAGATCGTGCTGCCATCCGGCGAAAAGTCCGCTCCGCCAATCTCTCCAAAGAAATCATGGACCTGCCGAGTCTGGTACGTCTGCGCATTGACGATGGCGATCCGGTCCGCCGGCTCGGCCAGTAGCAGCGTTCGGGGGCCTCCGCCGACCGGGGAGAATCGGACAGAGCGATACCCTGCTACGTCTGACTCGATCGTTTGTAAGATTCGCCAGGTGCGCGCATCCCAAATGATCACAGTCTTGTCTTGGTTGCTTGTAGCGATGTGTCGCATGTCCGGCGACCATGCGCACGCAAACCCGAAATCGCGATGACCACGGAGCGGCTGCACTGGTCGTCCTGTGTCTGCTTCCACTACCCAAGCATCGGGGGAATCCCCAATGACCACACGCAAACGCCCATCGGGGGACGTGGCGGTGCAATTGATTGCTCGCGACAGCTCGTGATCCGCAAGAAAAGTGTTGGTCTCACAATCCAGCACGCGAAGGTGCTGGTCATTCGACGCAAATATCGCCATCGGAGCGTGACTTGTCCGACTCGGGACGATATCAATGTGGTTGGTGATGCCATTGGCATTGGTCGTCACATACCCCTCCACCGTTGCGCCCTCCTTGCCCTCCGGTCGCAGGGCGTATTCCCCGGTAAACCCACCGGCGATGCAGACATTGTGCGCAGATTTCATGGTCGAAATTTTGACAGGTCCGCGGAATCCAGAATTAATTGGCGGTTTGGACAGGTCAATCAAGCAACTCAGGTCGTCATGCGCCGGAACCCACGAGTAGACCTTCGACTCGTGCGAGAAATGGACCGTGTTGTATGCCGGAACAGACATCAGATTCCGCAGCTGGAAGTGTTCGATAGAGGCACGATGTCTAGTGTGCATCGATTTCTCTCGAAAATAGAACTCTTCCTGCGGAAGTTTGCCGTCCATCTGATGATGCGGATAGTCCACGTTGTGATACGACGTATACCAGAGGTCTCGTAGTTCACGCGCATCCGACCGCTTTACGCGTAGGGTTTCCCACCATGGGATCTGTTGAATATCGTAGAAATCTCTGCTGTAGTTGTTCGGCCGGATGATCTTCTCCGGCGGTGTCCATCCAAGAATCCTGGATATTGGGTACGGCGGTAGCAACCTGGATATCAGCGGGAGACTAGGTGTTGAGCGCGTGGTCGATTCCAGGAGCCACTGGTTGATAAACTGATCGATATTGAGATTCCGTTCGTGAGCTACATCCGACGAAACGATTAGCCAAGCTGTCTACCGTGGACAGATCGATGAATACTCACTCGTGCCGTGGATCACAGATGCAGGAAGGTGGGCGTCTATTCCTGGAACATCTCCTATCGCGTCGCCTCCTGGAAAATTGTTGTGATCGCCGTGATTACCGGTAGGGGCTGCTTCCATCACCATTGGAAGCGGGTCATAGTCGAACGCTCGGTAGAAATCGTTAAAGTCGACATCGGCGAGTTGCACGGTAGCTTCGCGCGTCCGCGGACGGTCGATGTGCTCTTCGTAATAGTCATCGTCATGATCCAGATAAAACTTTTGCGTATCGTCGGGATCCTCCTCATGGTCGGAGACGCTAAACCCATCTCGCGGCATTGGTGACTCGTAATCCATAATCAAATCGCCCACATCGTCCTCATCGCTTTCTTCGGGAATGGCAGAAAAATGGTGTTCCAGGGCTGGATCGTTCGCCAGGATACTGTCCATGGCCATTCTGCCACCAGTCATGTACGGTCCGATAGGCACTCCACCTTGATGACCAAGGACATCCGTTGTTTCTGAATCAGACATATACAGATCCGCTGGCGGGGACGACGAGCGGCCGACTGATGCTGCTCGGACGGGCCTCCCCTCTCCTCGAAGATACTCTTCCCGCCCGATGACGGCGTTAACGACTTCTGAGACGGCGAGAGCATTCGAGTCGTTGTCGAAAGCGTTCGGGTATTGAGATACAGCGGTGAAGGCGGAGATACCCGCATCGCTCGAGCCGACGTCATTTCCTGGAGTCAAGCCGACATCGTGAGATTCTGAGATTGTTGCTACCATCGGAAACTCGTCAACATTCGTGCGCAGAGCAGCATGCTCATCGCCTTCCCTGGACATCTCGTCAGAGTCCTGGTCATCATAAGAGGAGGCCTGTCCGAACGACATATCCACAGGTCGCAGTCGTGATGGCCCAGGCGCATCACATGACGAGGGGTGAGATGTCCGATCACGATAACGGGGATGCGCAGGATTTTCTGAAGACGACGCGAAAAACGACGACGGCGATGATGATGATGATGATGACGATGTAAATGCAAAGTCACTTGGACCGGGCATCACTTGGTTGTACAAGTCGCTTCTTGCCGAGACGCAGGCTTGCGCAAGCCACGGAGGGATGATCGAGCCAGATCCCAGCCGATACAGCCGAGAAATCGCAGACAGTATTATTCCAAATTGAGACTGATAGGCACCAAACCGCACCAACCGTTGTACAGGCGGAGAGATAACCGACCACGTTGTTCCTTGTCGGGGATCAGGGATTACGGCGCCTCTGCTCTGCAATCGCCAGTCACCCCGCAGCTAGTCTCCCTCCACCCCCGCAGTGCGGCGAGAAGAAGGCTGTCCGATATTAAGTTAGGGAAAGGAATTCGAGACTCCGACCGAGTCAAAGCCAAGTCCTCAACGATATGTGGTTTGCAAGTTGTGCGCAAGTGTCAAGGCGCAATGATAAAATCAGGTCGCATAGCACCCGTAACGAGGGAGATGATTGATCTCAAAACGGTGAGGGGCGGTGTCGCAGTATGTATGTGGGTATGTACGTAAAAGGCAATAGTCGCACGCTCAGCCCGTAAGCATGAGTAATGTCATAAGACACAGAAGCCGAAGGCAACCGGTGGATAAATGATGAGACAACGGCCTTTGACTACTAGGCTGTTATGCCCTGTTCTGGTTAGTGGCGTTTCGATGGCTGCACAAGTTTAACGTGATGTGAGAGGACAATGTTAAAAGTGCTGCAGGTAAGAAATCAGCAACAAGGTTCAAGTGTGGATAGGAACGGCGCACTTCAGCATGGCCGGCGTGTTGGGCACAAGAACGTGCATAACCCGGATGTATCTAAGAAGATAGAGGTCGATCTGAGCGTCAGAGGCGGGTGATGATCAAGACACTAGGTACAAAATAGAACGGACATTTAAATTGACAGGGAGATGACAGAAAAAAGAGTTGATGAACCCAAAGGATGAATAGGGGGCTTCTGGTTGAGGCAGTTCAGATCGTAAACGAGGACATCGGCTGAGCGATGAGGTCAAATGAAGAGGGGAGAGATGGTGGATGACAAAGGAGAGAGAGTCTTAGTCAGAGTGCCAAAGTAAGTTAACGTAATCCACTACCGAGCCGATCAACCCCCCCGAGCCAATCACCCCTCATCCGATTTCAACGCGTTTGAACGTTTGAAGCCATCCAAATCAACCAAAACAATATATTTTTATTAGATCTAGCTAGTACGGCGTGTAGGGCAGCTAGATCTAGTATATCTAATAATGAAGTAATTAGAACACCTTGGTGGCGTGCGTTTAGGGGGTTCTGAAGGTAAAGGCGCGGAACTAGTAGATAGCCCTCTAATCTTATTATCTTGCTAATTTCTTGCCTGGATAAGATCCCTAGCTTCCTGAATGGAGAGTCCTTTATTAGGAGTTATCTAGTGTCTAGATTACTTTCTTTTCTGCTTCTCTTTCTCATTTGCTAGGTGTAGATCATGATTCTCCTTTATAAGAAGGGCTGCGCTATATAGAGCAATCTTATAGCCCTTAATAAGCTATTCTAATGTATGTTTTGAAGGTGAAGAAGGACTCTAAGATCCATACTTAAGAAGCTTCTTAATTAAGGAGGCTTGCTTGCCTAATTAATAGATATTATGAGGTGTTGTAAGTATAGAATTTAAAGACTAACTCCCTAGAAAGGGGGGGGTATCAAGGTGAATATAAAGCTAATTTAGTATCTTTTCTAGATTAAAAGAAATAATTCTAGCTGCTAGGAAGCTATTCTTAATATTCCTAGGCTTAAATATATTATAATAAGCTGTTGGATATGCCTTAAGGAAGTCTAATTTATTAATAGAGTTATATCCTAAGTATATCCTTTACTTAATAAGGCCTCTGTAAGCATGTTTTAATGGGCTAAAATAACTAATATCTAGTGGTTGTAGAAGATGAGAAGAATAAGGAGGTATGTAGATAGTAATAATATTATTATCCTTATAGGCTTTATTAAAACTAGGTATTAGATGGCTTCTGTAGCTATCTAAGATAAGTAGATAATATCTTCCAACTAT